TGATTGATAAAATCCTACATGGCAGATTGATCAGAAAAGTTTAAGCTCCTGGGAATCAAAGGAAGTCCAAAATTGATTCAGACACCAGAAGGAACAACAAATAGTTGCTGGGTATTTTTTGATTGGAAGGCACATTTCCAGTGAGGTTCATCAGGGCTCAGTACTGTGTGTCTTGGATTTTGTGCATACATCAAATGAATTAGGCTTGAATGTCAGGGGTATGATGAAGATGTTTGCAGATGACACAGAAGTTGGCTGCATTGTTATTCATGTTAGTTATAAAAGTAAAAAAGCTTGTAAATGAACTACACTTTGAAAGAGGAAAATTGCAAGGCTACCTGAATTCTAAAGTTATTGGGAATCATTGCTGATAGCCAGCAGTGTGATTTGCATTGCCTACATTGTTCCAAGCAATCTACAATTCAAGTTACCGCACTGAAAATGTTGAATTAGTGAGCAGATTTATTTTTGGATATAGATGTTTGGTAAAGTTGGTGCCCAATCGACGTATGTTATTACAGACCCCGGCAAGTACTTACTGAGTTACACAGTAAAGATGCATTGAGGCCAGGTCAGGCAATATGATCTCATTGCATTGGTGTAGGAAACAAGAGTGCATCAGTCTCAGACAGATATAGCATTTTCTAGTGGATGGAAAGCCTGGAGGAAATGCATTTAATAAAGCACTCCTTTTTAAAAGAGAATAATGGTTAGCGCCATAACTCCTTTGATCTTATCATTGGCTGAGAGACCCCTCCTACCAGACTGCTTTAGTGACATCAATTCCAGTAAATACTGTGGTATGGCTCCAGTCTAAAGTGGCTTGCAGGCAAATGTGAAACCGTCTTAATCCAGAAACTAGGTCACAGGCTGAAAGTATCAGAGGTCTAGACATGGGTGCCCACTGGCTAGCCAAGACTAGCCAACTACTCAGTGAGTTCACTGCCTGCAATTTTGTGGAGTCAGTTAATTTGTATAATTGTTTACTGTTGTGTGACCAACATTTTGTTGTAGTTTGCAAGGCTGTTAGGCGAAGCAAATATGAGGAAAGAATTAATTGTGGGGAGAACTGATATGGTGATTGAGAATAGAGTTTGCTGTCTCATACAACTAATTCAACAATCGTTGGATTTCCCTGTAGATTTGAGGGGCAGCGCTCCAGGTTGCTTGGTGATGCAGAAATGGTGACCCCACTTGACGGTTTCAGATTGAATTATTTTTTTCCCATAAAAGTACAATGAAGTACTGGTGTGACTTAGGACAACTATGTCTTTGTCTTTTTTTCTGACATTTTGAGCTTTAGGTTAGAAAGATGCCATTGAGGTCCTCAAACATATTCCGTTGTTGAACCATATCTTGCCTTATTTTGCTCATCTCCGATCAGTATCCCTTGTTACCCAACAAATTTGGTACATTTGAATGGTGGACTGATCAGAATTCTTTATCATATGGTGGATTGGCAAAGCTCCAGCAGATCCTTGGACACTGACTTTACTGCATGCCAATATATTCAATAATCTACGCATCAATTTAACGTCTTCTCCACATTGATAGCAATCATTTGGCCACTGCTTGCAATTTCTCTTCTAAGACTTTCATAAATGCACTGTGCTCTTTGTGTGCTTTTGGGATGTACAGTTTTTTGATTGTTCCTTAATATTGAGCATTGTTGAACTTAAATTGCGTAACCAGATTAAACCCTTCACTAACTCTCATTGTATCTTCCATCCATACTGCCCTTTGTACTTTAATGTTTAATGGTCACACTGTGTGCTGACTTCCTGTAGGGTTTAATAATTTCCCCAGTTGTGATGCAGCATTTCACTGAAGTATCTTGGAGCCTCTAAAATGCTCATTATTTTATGCCTTCATAACTCAAAGTTCTACTACAGGATAGCAGATAGCAACAGCATGGCCTAAGAAGCCCCGGGTAAGTCAATATTTTAAAATATCACATCAAAATGATTGGCTAATTTCCAACAGCAAAAGATAATAAATAGTTTCATCAATTTTTTTTAAAAATTAGAATTCCTGTGGATCTTCTCTCCCACAAGATATTCTTTCCACTCTGTGTTCCAGCTAATTTCACTCAATTCTCTGTCAGCTCGAACACTTGCTAATAGCTATTTAATGTGGACATCTGACTGCATTGACTTTCTCACTCAGGTGCAAAAAGAATGTTTAATACATTCTCTTTGAATATTTTTCCAATCTGCATTTGGTTAAGAGGGGATGTAACAAAAGTGTGTTTTAGAACTAATGCAAGCTTGTAAAAAAAACCTTTAAGAGGGGTATGCTAGGCTTTAAGTAAAGGTCTAGATTATAAATGCAAAAATGCTTTTTACATGTTTCATATAGCTCTAATTAGGCTTCATCATCTAGAGTATTGAGAGTGTGATTCTGGGTGCTGTACCCTAGGGACCATGTAAATGCTTCGGAGAAGGTGCAAAGGAGATTTACTAGAACTAAAATGGTGGCACTGTTGAGCAATTTTGGTTATGTTGATAAACTAAATATGCTGAGTTTGTTCTTAGGATAAGAATATGTTAAGAGAAGGTTTAACAGGCATTCAAAATTGCAAATTATTTTGATATGCGTAAATAGGATGTAATCATTTCCAAGGCAGGAGGGTCAATAACTAGGGGATATGGATGTTAGCTGGCTTCTGATGAAGGGTCTAGGCCCGAAACGTCAGCCTTCCTGCTCCTATGATGCTGCTTGGCCTGGTGTGTTCATCCAGCTCTACACCTTGTTATCTCTGGCTTATTTACTCAGTTGTGATTTTAAAATTCAGCTCAAACCACAAACATGCGGGTGGAAAGATGAGTGAAAATTGATTCAGTCATAATTTTCAAAAGGAAAATATATATACACAGGGAGAAGAAAAAGTTGTAGGGCTGGAGAAGCAACAAAGTTGAGTGATTGAATCAGAGATAGTAGGAACTGCAGATGCTGGAGAATCCGAGACAACAAGGTGCAGGGCTAGATGAACACAGCAGGCCAAGCAGCATCATAGGAGCAGAGAGGCTGACGTTTCGGGCCTAGACCCTTCATCAGAGTAGGTCCGAAACGTCAGCCTCTCTGCTCCTATGATGCTGCTTGGCCT